TGTGATTGAACAAAATAAATTTCATGGTGACAATATAGCCCCCATTAAGAAAAAACAAAGTTAATTTATTTGAAAAAATGGTCATGAAATACCGTGAAAATCTTATTTTCATGCAAAATTTCAACAACAGAAGAATCATAAAAACTATAAAAATCTAGATGTTTGATTGCAATATTTTTTAACTTCCCAAATTTGATGAAGTTCATGATATTTTCTAAGGGTTAAATTCATCAATGACCACCCAATTTTATACTTAATGTCATCATGCCACTCAATTTGATTTTATTTCATCATGACCACCCAACTTTACATTTAATGTCACCATAGCCATCCAATTTCATATAACGTTTCACAATAACCACCTAATATTTCATTATGGCCACCAAATTTCTTTTCACCACTTTCACTAATTTTAGAATGGGTACAACTGTAAATTTGTATTATATATGAAAAATAAATTTATAAAAACAATTTTTTTAAAAAATTTAAAAAATTTTTTTTATTTTTTTAAGAAACATTTTTTTAAATAAATTTTTATTTTATTTTTCTTAGTAATTTTTTAAAATAAGTTTTTATTTTATTTTTTTTAAGTAACATTTTTTCTTAAAAAATAAGTTTTTATTTTGTTTGATTTTTTCAAGTAACTTTTTTTTTATTTTTTTAAAATTTATTTTTTATATACACACATACACCCAAAATGCAAAGTTATCGTTTTATCCTTTTTAAAATTAATGAAAATGATAAAAAGAAGTTTGGTGGCCACGGTGAAATGCTATATCAAATTGGATGGTCATTGTGAAATAAAATCAAATTAGGTGACTATGGTGATAAGCATAAAGTTAGGTGGCCATGATGACACCAAGGGCCCGTTCGGTAAGGATTAAAATCAGATTAAAATTGAAAAAATAGTCGTTATTGTTGACTTTTATAAGACGAGTGGGACCCAATAACGACCNATTTTTCTACAGTAAATCGATTTTCAACCACACATTCTTCAATAAAATAATATTTTCCATCACATCAATAATTTTTTCTTCTTTTTCAACCACACATTTCCCATCATATCACTATTCAAAATCAATTCTTTCCCAAAAAATCTCTCCCAAACAAGCTCTAAATCAAATTAGGTAACTATGGTGATAAGTATAAAGTTAGGTGGCCATGATGACACCAAGTATAAAGTTGAGTATTTTCCAATAATGGGCCAAGTCCAGATTCCGAACCTTATCCATAATGCCTACGACGTCGTATATTTGCAAAAAGTTAAAGGGGTGGGTTCTCTTTGGGTTCGACAACCCTTTCGCACTCGGAAAATAACGAGACTATTAATAACCCCTCCATTTGATGGCCGCAAGGCCTTATCAATTCATCGTCTTTCGCCACCGCCGCTTTTTAGCCCTCTCAACGACACTGTTTCTACCCATCACTTCCCTCCGCACCGTAGCTTCCAGAGCCTCGCTTTCCCTCACACACAACTGCCACAACCAGCAGAAGCTAAAACAACAACCCTCTCCACCGCCCACGCTGCCGCCGCTACCTTATTCCACCGGCCGCGGCCCCGCTGCTTCTGTACCTGAAACCCTGGCGCAGAAGATCGGAAAATCCATCCGCCGTCCTGGCGCCCCATCCAAGGCTCGGATCTATACCGACGTCAATGTTATCCGCCCTAAGGAATATTGGGACTACGAGTCCCTTACGGTTCAATGGGGGTGTGTAATTAGTTGAATTAATTTTATTTTTGTGAATGGAGGAATTTGTTATTTTAGTTTTTTTTTTTTTGGGTCTAACAGGGAGCAAGATGATTACGAGGTGGTGAGGAAGGTGGGGAGAGGAAAATATAGCGAAGTATTTGAGGGGGTGCACACCACCAACAATGAGAAATGCATAATCAAAATCCTTAAACCTGTAAAGAAGAAAAAGGTTTGTTTTCTTCTGCATTTTACCATGAATTCTTCTTTCTTATTCTCATAAATACAAATGAAGAGAACTAGAGAAGTAACCAGTTGTGAAATTTTTATGCATCAGTTAAAAAAAACTTTAAAATGCAAACATCCTATTTTCTGCAACCAATACCAGAAGAGCTACAATATCTTATCGTTCTGTACTCACATGATTCGAAATAATGCCCAAGAAATTGGTGTATATCACTAGTCAGCATGAAGGAAAATTACAGTCGTGATGTTGGAAAAAGTTGAACGAACTTAAAAAGTAAATGGAAACCATGCTGCAAGTGTGAAATAATACAGTGGTGTACTTATAGAGCATCAAGAGTTGTCAAGGGGCTTCTTACTGATCATGTATCTGTTTTTTTTATTTTTTTTCTTTCCTGTAACAGTCATCTAATTAACTTTGGAGAGGCACATGCTTCGGTCATTGATATCTGTTCTGTTCTTTGCCGCTCAGCAGAATTGTATCGGAAAATAGATAAAGAAGAATGAGTATGACATGTTGTTTGTCTTGATTAGTTTAAGTTTCAATGGGGGAAGTCAATACTTTCTCTAGAATTTGGATTTGATGAGTTTTGGGTGGACATATGCTCGCATCTCTTAATTGTAATAGTTTTGATGTCCTTGATGGTTTGAGGCTAATAATTTGAATGATCTCCACCACTGTATCCTTTGACTCATGATCTCTTCGTGGACCCACTAAGACAAAATATATATCACTTTTTTCTATTCAAGATTATGTTGTCCGGCATTGCTGTAGTTCCTAACATATTTCTGTTAATCAATTCAACATTCGGTTGCTAAAGATAAAAAAAGAGTGAGGAGGTTTATTAATCTAATTATTAGCTCATAGTGTGATTTAGTTTAATTGTTAGGAGCCATGTACATTGCATAAAATTTCTCATTGCAAATTCTACCTGCCCGTATATATTTTTTTCTTTTGCAATTAAGCTCCTGTTTGAGCATCATTATCCAAAAACTCATTGTTTTTTTCCCAAACTTATTTTCTACTACACATTCTGCTAATAAAATAATCTGCGTATAAACTTTTCTCATTTTTAACCACAATTTCTCCAAAAAAAAAATCACCATTGCAAAACCAATTTTTTG